ACGGAACAAAGCTCTTCTTCTCTTTCCACTTTCTTCACTCCATGCATAATTTTATACAGCTCTTTCATGTCTCCTCTTACTCACTTTTCCTCTAAAGAGCCCTGGAAATTGCAACCTTTCCTCATGAGAGAATTGCTCCAGCTGCTTTTATCATTTTGGTAGTCCTCTTCTGAACCTTTTTGAGCTCTTCTGAATCCTTTTTGAGGTGAGGCAACCACAATTGACACCATAGATCATAATGCTGGGAATTTTATTTTCAATTCCTTTCCTAATGATTCACCTTTTTCACTGCTGCTGTACACCGAGTCCAACAACATCTGGCTCCCCCTGGTAAAGAGGGAGGGGGCAGTAATCCTTCCCTCCATTGAGTTTTTCCTGATTAACATTTGTGGGAATGTTGTGGATAGCAGGAGAGGATATATTGATTAAATATTATCCTACCTCACTCACGCTAGTGAGCTAGTTGCAAAGCACATTCCCTTGTACATAGCAGGAAGCTAGTTGATAGATTCGTTAGAACCATTTGAGTTAAGCAATCCAGTCTGGCTTGTCCAGATTGGATTGTTCATGGTAAATCCCCTTTAAAGACCCCTGACCATTAGGTCCAGTCATGACCGACTCTGGGGTTGCGGTGCTCATCTCGCTTTACAGGCCGAGGGAGCCGGCGTACAGCTTCCGGGTCATGGCCAGCATGACTAAGCCACTTCTGGCGAACCAGAGCAGCACATGGAAACGCTGTTTACCTTCCCGCCAGAGCAGTACCTATTTATCTACTTGCACTTGATGTGCTTTCGAACTGCTAGGTGGGCAGGAGCAGGGACCAAGCAACGGGAGTTCACCCCGTCGCGGGGATTCAAACCACTGACCTTCTGATCGGCAAGTCCTAAGCTCTGTGGTTTAACCCACAGCGCCACCCATGTCCCTTAAATCCCCTTTAGTTCCCTCTTAAAAACAATAATGACACAACAGTCTTCTTTTAAAAGTAATGATAAGGTTTACTTACATTCACTTCACAGCATGGTCCTGAAGGCAGGTTTTAGCTTGTAGTTACAGTTACAGAGAAAAGTGTGAGTTCATCCTTTGTGAGGGGTGATCGCATGTGCTGCTGGCTGAGAGCCAGCACACAGCAAAAGGCATCAAGATGGGATAAGGCGAAAAAAGGGAAGATAGCTGCGTGACCAGCCCTTTTATAGGGTCTGCCAGGGTCACGCCCATCTACCTGGTCACATGAGGGAGGAGGATGCTCCAGACCAGGTGTGACAGGACGTTATCCTGGCTGGAGCAACATTCCCCTGTGTATCCACTCTAGGCGAACAGGAAATGTTGTATTTGACTGCTTCATTGATGTTACATCCCACAACATAGAGGTACCATTCAGTGGTGGGGAATTCGATTTGGCTTGGGAGGATGACCAATGGCAAAGGTATTCAACCTCTTGCTGCCCAAACCATGTCTCCAATCTAAGTCACACTCCCACCTCCTGGTGCTTCTTCGAGCTAAGACAAAACAAACACAAACCGTTGGGATCCTATTCACAGATTTCCCACACCTTCTGCCTAGTTTGGCCCAGAGAATGTCTCTTGGCTTAGGAGATCTGGATGCTTCATTCCTTTTGCTTACAGTTCTTTCCTTTAGAAACATAATTGAGTTTACACAGATCAATACAGCATCCTTGCAGAAAGTGCCTCTTTCGCTATTGACCCAGTGAACATTCTTACTGGCTTAGATTTTTTTCAGACCCAACCAGGGGTGACTTGCTTTGAAATGGACTCCATGGACACATGAGGCTGCAAGTTTCCCAACAGACCATAAAGTAGACCTGGGGAACCTTTTGCAGACCAAGGGCCACAATGTCCCTGAATGCCCCTGGATTTCAGCCCCAGTGGACATCAGTTGAGAGGGGAGAAGGCTTTGATGCTGCTCAAAGCATGCAAGCCCAGTTCCGTCCTCTGCAAGAGGATCTGCCACAGGAAAATACAAGCAGAGAGGGGAATGTCTCAGCAGAGAGGCAGTCTGGTGTTCCTTGCAAATATGCAAAAAGCGAACCATGCACATGTGTACACGCAGTTTGCAGAATGCAACAGCATTTTGAAGTTTACGGTTTTAAACGGCTGCGCTGCAGAGCTTGCACTTCAGCTGTGTATTAACATCATTTACATTCTTCTGCGGACAGAGAAAAGGTGTTGGGTGTCCAACTTCTGCAGAATGCAGAAGGTTAAACATGATCAGAATCACTCAGGATTAAATGCACCTCTGTTTCCATTGGAAAGTGCAGTGCACATGAGTGATTGTGGGTGCCCATCTCCCTCTGTTGAGGGTTTGTGACTATGTGTGTGTCTGTCCCTGCCCATTATTGAAATGCAGGTGTCAAGAGCTTTCCACCAGGGAACTGTGGCCCTCAGCCCAAAAGGCGTCCCCCAAATCCCCTCCCTTAGATGAACATGGGGATCTTCTTGAGTTCAGCCAGGTGCCTTTATCAAAGTGTTTTCCCTCCTTTGTGACCATAGAGAGACCAGCACTGAACTGGAGTCAGGTTTCTTGAAATGAAGTCGTAGCCTGGTTCTTGGACAGCGAATCTCCTGAAGGCCATCCAAGGGAGACTGTGCCTTTAGATTGCGCTAGCTGGCAACGTAATTCCTGGTCCTGACGTCGTTCAAGAGCAAGGGGCGGGTGAGGGGTTCATTTTGCTGTTTAACCCGTGTGCCTCAGTCTGCAACGCTCTTGTTGACCCTCTTTATAGTTTTGGGAAAGAAATTAATTAGCAGGAGCTGCTGCACGCTGTGAAAAATTTCAAAAATGCTTTGCATAACCTTGGGGGGTGGGGATGAAGATCTATTCATCAGATTTTTCTCCTGGGCCGGTCCTTTGCAAACAAGATTAATTTACTCCACAGCCATTTGTCTTCACCAGGACCCCGCGAAAGGGAAAGTGAGGCTTAATTAGCATTTTAAAGTGGGCAGCCTTGAAGTTAATGATATTCAATAACGAAAAATTGTTTTAACCTTATTTGCACTTTTCAATTTACTTATTACAGGCCATCTGTTAAAAATTTAAGCGAGTGCTGTAGGGAGTAGGCACTCTCTCAGATTGTCAAAGGAACTCTTGACTAGATAGGCAGAAGGGCTGGGTGGGTGGGTGGGAAGAGGAAACATGGATACACGCGGCATTAAATGAGCAGTTGGTATTATTCGCCCCCTTTAGACTTCTGGCAAATGCAACAGAAGGGAAGGACTTAATAACCATTTTCTAACCATCACACTTCTGAACAACGCCATCATTTTCTATAGGCTTTAGACAGGGTCATTATTACACAATGCAGCCCAGTTTTGTGTGCATCAGGACCCAAACCCAGTGAGGCACTGGAGATCAACAACTGGATTTGCTGCATTTTAGGATTTTATTTTTAAACTGTAGGTGGGAGTGCCTTCCTCAGTGGGGAAAATGGGCAGCTTGGGCATCTCTGTTTTGTAAGAAGTTAACCTCCCCTCCCAAGCCCTGCCACCCGAAACCGATTCTCCCCCTCTTCTTTTTCTCATACACTAACACCCCCAACTCCCTCCCCACAGTGACTGCTTCTCAAGAGAAAATGACAGAGGCGGAAGATTCAACCACAGATCTCAAGCAGCTTATCTTGTTTAGCATTTGGTTTAATCAAACACAGAACCAGTTCATATTTCAGGAACCTCCCCTTCCCCCTTGCATACAATGTAGTACAGAAGCAAGTAAACGGACAAAGGTCAGCATTTTGATGCTCCATACACTTGTGAGAGCCACTTCACATGCATATTCCTAACTTGGTGAGAAACTGTACCCAGAGCCAGCTACCAAGAGAACTTTGCTCTAGTAGCATCAAAAAGCTGTTCTGGAAAAAGGAATGGGCTGCAGGTTGCATTCAGTTTCCTTTGCTGACCCTTCGCTGCTGAACAGATGTTTTGCACAATTGCTGCTTTTTGCTCAAAAAAGGTGCACAGCTGGATCAAGGCCACAGATCCCCCTGGGAGAACTAAGGGTTTAGTCTCAGTCTCTCTCTCTCTCGCTCTCTCTCCGAAATCAGTAGAACTATTGCCATATTTAATTTTAGCTGTATCTATCACCTTGGTACCTACTTCCCATTCAATCCTTAAACCCAGACTGAGGCCACTTTGAGGCTACAGGGTTAGGAGAAGATGGAAGATCAGTTTGTACTTGATGGTGCAGAACCATATTTTTGCTTCTATATATTTTTTTGCAGAATAAGAAAAGGAAAAAGAGAGAAGGGGCAGTGTGCTTTAAAGCAGGTACATGATGCAACATGTAGTATGATCCTTATTGCTCTATTCTTAAGCATTCAGCAGAAGCCCAGCAGCCATAGAAAAACCTATTAAACCTATTCAGTAGCATACTTAACCCAATTGTTAATCCAGCCCCATGGTAGAGCAAATTCAGGCCTTTTTTTATTCTTCTTGCAACCCTCATTCCCTGCCCCATTGCCTCCCCCTTTGGCAGTTGAATCCTTTAAAAAGTTTACAAATCACACCATGGAGTTCAATGGAATTTACTCCCCCCACCCCCAGAAAAGTAAATCTGCTCTGGATTACAGTTTTATTCTGAAAAAGCCAAGCGAAATATAGCTCCACACCCGGTTCTTTTCGAGTTTCCATAATCGGCTTGTCATGACGGAGTTTGCTCATTTACTGGAGGTTATCCATGTCAAGAGAAGTTATATTTCCATCTCTCCCTGACGGCCCAGGAGAATGGTGACTCCAAAGGACTTCAAAGACTGAGAATGAGCAGGTAACCTCAGCTGACATCAGACCCATTCAGTATGCACAAATTAAGGCTGTTTTGCTAAATATTACTGCTCTGCTCTTGTCTTCTCCCAATATGGGGGAAATGATCAGTGCTTTTCTCTAGGAGTACTCAAGGTTATGCAGTGGGCACTTATTGTAACAACTTCATATTTTTCTTTTTCTTTTTTATAAAAAAAGAAGCACTGGATATTATTAGTTTTATTTATTAACCTCATTATGTACTTTGTGTTCTTGTACTTTTATGTCGTGAACCACCCTGAGACCTATGGATGAAGGGCTATATACAAATGTAATAAATAAACAAATCAGTATTAATTCAGTTTATTCATCGTTGAGATCTTAAAGACTTACATTAGATCTAAGAGACTAATGACTTACATTAAAAAAGAAGAAGCATGTACAGAAATACATTGTACCATAAGGGTGGGATTCATGTAAAACCTCGACATTTCATACAGCATATTAATATGGATGTATTACTGAAAATAACATTCAGAAATACATGCTATTAGGGAGCATTGCTTTGCAGAGATGAGTATACAAGGCAAAAGTTGTGTACAAAATGTCTATAGAGGGATAAGGTAAAGGTAAAGGGACCCCTGACCATTAGGTCCAGTCGCGGACGACAGTGGGGTTGTGGCGCTCATCTCGCTTTATTGGCCGAGGGAGCTGGTGTACAGCTTCCGGGTCATGTGGCCAGCATGACTAAGCCACTTCTGGTGAACCAGAGCAGTGCACGGAAATGCCATTTACCTTCCCACTGGAGTGGTACCTATTTATCTACTTGCATTTTTGACGTGCTTTTGAACTGCTAGGTTGGCAGGAGCAGGGACCGAGCAACGGGAGCTCACCCCGTCGCGGGTATTCGAACCACCGACCTTCTGATCGGCAAGTCCCAGGCTCTGTGGTTTATCCCACAGCACCACCAGTGATAGAGGGATAAATTCGCACAAATATTGAGGAAGTTTCATGAGGACTTGGGGGGGGGTTGCTGAATCATAAACTGATGTTGAAATGCAGTGAACTTAGGGAAATGACTGGTTAGTAAATGCTATCCATTTATTTCTTTTGTTTGGATTTGGTAATATAACTTGCCTTGCACGTAACTTAGTCCTCTCAAGTTCCTGGAAGATGAAGATGGAGCTATTCCTGTTAAGAGGGCTGATGTCAATTTTGATGGTCTGCTCCTGGTCCCTTGTGAACATCACATCCACATCACCAGCTGGCCGCACAATTTGGAACGACAGGCAAGATCTGCTTAAGAGTCATTTTAAAGGTCACAGATGGGTTATGTTCCCTGATCTGTGCAAAAAATAATAATTAAAAAGCAGCTCTCTGCACTGGCTGATCACTTGGGCTCTCTAACTCTACCACCATTTTATTTACTTTAGGATTAATTGCCAGCAAAAGGTCATTTGATCAAAAGAAGTTCTCCGAAATCCTTAGTGGTTTCATGAACATTTTGCCTTAGGGGTTTGACAAATTGTTTCATCGGTTTATTTTTAATATGACAAAACAGAGCTTGTTAGACTGAGTTTCCCACAGCAAACACAAGCAGATTAAGCTACGTGTTACTATTAGCCATGTGCAAAAGCCCACAGGACAGAATCAGTTCCATTATATTAGCCCCAAGGAGCGGGTTTTCTTCGAAAATCTGTTTGCTGAACCAAAATTGGCACTCACTTCTGTAGTGCACTGCTCTCTCAGTTGGTCAGCGTGATAAGCACCATTGGTGTTTTTTATGAATGTGTTTTAATATCTGTGGTTCCATTATATCATGGGCTTCAGAACATTTTGGCATTCAGTGCAGTCAGATGTTTTGGCAAACCATCGTTTACCACTGCAAGAATGAACAGTGGTGAGGCCTGGGCTCCCCACCCCCACTTCCTTCATATATGGTTTGGGATCCAGGTTTGAGAGCAAACTATGGATTGCACAAACCCTCATTTGTTGAGAATGGGAAACAGTGGTTTTCCATGAAGTAGGAGCTCTCTCAACCTGGGCTACTCTCTTCCCTTCACACATGAAGCAAAATTGAGAGGGGAACATGTTAGCCTAACATTCACCACTGCTTCTCCTAATAATGATGAACTATGTTTCTTATTACTCTCAATACAGTCTTCTCACTGGTTTCCCGATTTTGCAGTGCATCGTAATCCTATCCATGCCTACACAGCAACTGAGCCATCTGTATGTATTTAGCCTGGGCATGGAGATGGATTTCCCATGACATGGTAAAACTACAAGGAATAGGATTAAAAACAGAGCCACAGGTTTCTTACCTTGGGAACAACAATCTCTATAGAACAGCATCCCACCAGCTGAAGACCAGAGCAGTGTCACACCCATCTTTGAAGTCCTGGAGTAGTTTTGATTGTGGCTGGGGTACAGTTGCCCCTTCAACAGAACTGGTAAAGCCCAGGAGTCGGATTTTCATTTGCGTCTCGGTCTCCTAGAGAGGAAGGGCGGGCATGGTTGAGAAAGTAAAAGGCTAGTCCAGGATTGTTTATTCTGACTGGCCACAGCTCCCCAGGATCTCTGGCAGAGCTCCTTTGCATTGTCTGCTTCTTTTGACAACAACAACAACAACAACAACAACAATAATAATAATATTTTTTTATTTATATCCCGCCCTCCCCAGCCGGGCTCAGAGCGACTAACAACAATAGAAGTAACACAATTTACATAAAATCACAAGCAATTAATTGAAATGCATTCTAAAATCAATTCATTCTAAAATCAATTCAGAATCAAATTAATGGCAGCCATTGGGCTAGAGTTCTGTGAGAACTACCAAAGGAGTGGGTCAGACTGTGCCTTGGCCATCCTCCATAGTGTAGGTCTCTTCCACAATCTGTCCAGTTGTGCTGCTGCAGATGGGTTTCGTCTCTCTCCGCTCCTCCCAGTGGTCATGTCTCTTCTGGTCACTGCTGTGGATACAGAGTTTGACTGTCTGCCTCCAGGCACTGCTGTCACCTGCAAGAGATTCCCACATGGCGGGGTCGGTGTTGCCAGCCTTCTTGTCACGCTCGCAGACATCTTTGTAATGCAGAGTTGGTCTGCCAATGGGCCTGGTGCGTGAAGCCAGCTCTCCGAAGAGCACATCCTTCTGGCCTTCCATTCTGTGGACAGGACCAAGTAAGTGTAGAAGTCGCTGAGACAGGAGTGCGAACATGCTGGGAATGTGGGCTTGGGAGAACACACTGCCTTGTGACACCCCAAATCTTCCTGAAGCAGTGCGTGTAGAAGGCATTGGGGAATTGCTCCTGACAGTGGTGAGTTGCCCATGACTCACTTCAGGGCTAGCGATCCTATGGAACCTCGGGCCACGTCTGGCCTGCAAAACCACTTCAGGTGACCTGCCAGCCCTCCTGATATTAGGCACCTCTTTCTCTTGCCTTCGACTTACGTTGGAGACATGCCTCTTCTCCTTCAGGTGCACTGCTATTTCACCTGAGATCTTAGTGCTTAGGAAGCAGGAATAAGTGCTCTTTTTTCCTGTTTCCTGACCGCTAAGAACCTCAGCGCAGTGGCACTGTGCCAGAACAAGAAGAGGTGCATTTGCAAACACAGTCAAGGGCTTTCCTTCCTATTGCAACCCTAGGGGATTTGGGTGAAACACACCCAAATAATGCAGCTGAAGGAGAAAATTATATACACAGGAGAACACAACAGCGGGACAACTAAATAAGCAACAGAAATTGGAGCAGCGGATTAAGTTCAGTCAGCAGCACAAGCAGAATGATCAAAGCACCAAAGAGAAGGAAACTCTGGGCTTTTTTTTGGAAAGGTGGGATAGATTTAAAAACAAAACAAAACAAAACAAAACAAAACAAAACAAAACACAAACAATGTCTATGTAATCCAGACCAAAGGCTCAACAAAACAGTAGTCTTGACTCAACATACTATAATATGCATGCACTAGAGGTAAGGATTAGTAAATCTTAACAATTTTGGAATCTTGCAGTTTCTCATTTTTCCAATCATAGTTCTCCGCATTTCTTCATTGGTTTGAGTGTTGTTGTTTTTAAAGAGGCCTCATTAAAACTCATCAGCATTTTAGTGTGAATTTCTCCTAACAGACATACTTCTGAATGCAGTTTTGCCGAATACAGTGGTACCTCGGGTTACAGACGCTTCAGCTTACAGACGCTTCACGTTACAGACTCTGCTAACCCAGAAATAGTGCCTCAGGTTAAGAACTTTGCTTCAGGATGAGAACAGAAATCGCACGACAACAGCACGGCAGCAGTGGTAGGCCCCATTAGCTAAAGTGGCACCTCAGGTTAAGAACAGTTTCAGGTTAAGAACGGACCTCCAGAACGAATTAAGTTCTTAACCCAAGGTACCACTGTATACATATTGGCACAAAGCAAATAATGAATTTGTGTATATGTTACTTTCACAATTAAATGCATTTCCATGCACACTTGGACCCAACCCAAGTGTATGGGTTTTTGCACACATTGCTTGGCTGCAGAACTGCATTGCGAATTTTGAAGGATGGCAGCATTTCAATTTCTGTATTGTTTTGGAAAGTGTGAATTAGGTAGGTTCACCTTTAAATGCAAACTGAATTGAATTTCTCCCCCAACTCTAACTGAAGGTAGGGCAGAGAAATTATGCTTCAAGGCACCGGCTTGGTTTATTTCCATTTCCCCTAGAGTCTCGGATGGGAGTTTTTGCCAAAATGGTTAACATAAAAGGATATTGACATCACCATTGGCAAGGGATACAGATCTATTAAAAAGGATTTTCCTCCCTCCTTGCTCTATTCAGTTTACTTCACAGCATTCATAGATAGCAGGCCAATATGTTGGCATGGACTGATCAGGTCCAGAGCTTGGGGACAGCAATAGCAGAAGGCAACCTAATTTATTGTGACACCTTCAGAGAATGTCCAGAAAGCACTGTGATAATTTGAAGTTTGGAGTAAATAATGAGGGAGGTAAACAGGAATCGGTGTGGCGGGGCACACAGTGAGTTCACACTATAAAAAATATTATTATTATTAGTGCTATTTTTCTAGAAAAACAGGTGGCTGAACTCACCATGAACACCTCCCTCATTCTCTTATAATGGCAATGGTACCCACTTGAGAAGTGCCAGAACTGCTGAAAAAAAGCCATTATTTATTATATATTATTTATTATTTATTCTACAAAGCAAACAAACAACTTCAAGAATTACAGATTGGAGAAAATGCATCCAGCCACACCAGAAGAATTCAGTTTGACAATGCAAACCATGTTTCTGGTCCCCACCAGAGAGGAATGGCAAACCAAGCTGATAGACTATGTCAAAATGGCAAAACCGACCAGAAAGCTCAGGAGCCAAGAAGACAAAAACTTTAAGAAAGAATTGGAAAAAAATATAATTTATTTAGGAGACCACTGTAAGCAGATGAAAACATTAGCAATATTTAATAACACTGTAACAATCACTATGGACAATATGGATAGATACAAAACATGGGATTATGAAACAATATGCAGTTGAAAATGCTGACAATAAGATCCATGGAGGAGATGGGGGAAGTCTGGAGATTCAGAGAAATCTCAAAATCTGGTTATTTATTTGGTATTCTTATAACTCTACGCTTGTAAATTAAAATAAAAAAAAATTTACAAACCGTGTGTCTGGTTAGGTCAATAACAAATTTAGACTTAGGTTAGCGCATCTACTATACCTGTTCGCAATTAAGCCAAAGAGTCCCTCCAAAGTGACTTTTTGGAAATGGGAGCTCTGGTTTCCAGTCCTGGGTATACGACTGATGTTATATTTTACTATTTATCATTGCATCCCTAAAATACCTACATTCATAAGATCCGATTGGTCAGATGTGCGCAGGTGCCCATCTTGACACACAGGGCTGGCAAACTGAATTTTGCAGGCTGCTGTCACTCTCAGTTGCCAGGATACTGTCCTGTTCCAACCAGGCTATGGGCCTGCAGCATGTTAAGCCGGAACTGGCATATATTCACTGACCTTCAGCTGGAATCTGGCCAGTGAGATGGTTCAGGCTCCAAATAATAGGGCAGAATGCAAGCTCTGGCCGACACAAGCGGAGTTTGGCTCTGTTGGATCTGGGAGAACTCCCAGGAAGGGCAGATGTTCATCTAGCAGAGTCCCCAGAGTTTGACCAAGTCTTTACATCCCTCAGCCTAATAATCGCTGCCAGAGTCCTGCCCGCTGAGCAAAGCTATGGGGAAATTAAAGTCTTTGAAGTTTGAAGGAAACTACTGTGGTGTTATGTACTGAGCTGAATAGGATCCAAAATGCAGCAGTCTGATTGGTTCTAGAACAATAGGATTCAGAATGCAGCAGTCTGATTGGTCCTAGAACAATAGGATTAAGAATGCAGCGGTCTGATTGGTCCACAGGAGCCACCCAATCTAGCTCCAGGTGGAAGTGAATCCGCAACCTGATTGGCCTACAGGAGAATCCCAGAATTAGCCAATCACGTGGGGCCCATTGTGTAAATAATGTATATAAAGCAGACATTCTGGGGGAACTTCCATTCCTCCTCACCACTATGAGCTGAATAAAAAGCATGACATCCACTCTCAACTCTGAGTATATTTCATGTGGCTTTCTTGAACAGCTTAAAATTGACCCCTTTGCCTTCTCTACCGAGGAACCATTAGAGGGAGAAGCGTTATGGGTAGTTAGCAGCTAAAAAAAAAAAAAGGAGTTAGCGGTGGGCGTCATAAGCCTGCATACTTTGGACTTTGGCTCCACCCACTTTGGTCATGTGACCCCAGCCACTTTCCTCAGGGAGCTGGGCCCTAGGGGAAAAGGGATTCCTTGCTCCTGTTATACAGGGGGGTTCATAGAAGCATAGAATTGTAGAATTGGAAGGGACCACGAGGGTCATCTAGTCTAAACCCCCTGTAGTGCAGAAATCTTTCGCCCAACATCAGGCACGAACCCACAACGCTGAGATTAAGAGTCTGATGCTTTACCAACTGCATCCTCCCTGAGGGTTTTCCTTTTCCTGGGGCGTACTGTTGCAATCATTTGATATTTCCCTTCTCTTTCTTGGGGTATCTTATTTTATTTAACTGATCTTAAAATTGCACTAGATGCATTCCTAATGTGTCCTTTTCACTAATTTTACTATATCCATTGTTGCAACCCACCCTGGGAGCTTATGGGGAAGGGCAAGTAAGCAATCTAAATAATAATAAAAACAAAAATTACAAGAAGTAATAATAGAATGTTGTTTCCCTTTTCTTTTTCAATCTTATTTCTTTTTGATAGTCCTGACTGTATGATTTGGGGGTGTGTTAGGTGGAAAACATCTGGCTGCATGGGCATAGTGGGGGGAGGGACAGCTGCCCTCCCCCCAGATCAAGTAAAACAAAAGAAATACTGACATGTCAGTTCTGCCCTCCCCAACAAAAATCCTGGCTACGCCCACGTCTGGCTGCATCACAAGTGCATGCATTTATCGCAGCGAGTAGAAGTTATCGCGAAGTCCCTTTAAAATTCATGCCACAGCCCTAGCCCTTCATCAGTTGAACAATGGACGTTCCGTTCAGTCCTGCACTTAAATGCCACTGGCTGAACCTTCCTCCTCTCCTAACAATTAGTTCCAGACATACAGAATCTGCAATTCATGGCAGTGTTCGGTATCATAAAATACAATTGCCAATGCTTAGGTTAGGTGACTGATGGGTATGGCAAAGGGTATGGCAGGGAGAAATTGCAGCATTTTGAGAAGGAGAGTTAGTTTTCCAAAGCAGAGACATCACCTTGCCAACAAAGGTCCTTATAGTTAAAGCTATGGTTTTCCCAGTAGTGATGTATGGAAGTGAGAGCTGGACCATAAAGAAGGCTGATCGCCAAAGAATTGATGCTTTTGAATTATGGTGCTGGAGGAGACTCTTGAGAGTCCCATGGACTGCAAGAAGATCAAACCTATCGATTCTGAAGGCAATCAGCCCTGAGTGCTCACTGGAAGGACAGATCCTGAAGCTGAGGCTCCAATACTTTGGCCGCCTCATGAGAAGAGAAGACTCCCTAGAGAAGACCCTGATGTTGGGAAAGATTGAGGGCACAAGGAGAAGGACGACAGAGGACAAGATGGTTGGACAGTGTTCTCGAAGCTACCAGCATGAGTTTGACCAAACTGCGGGAGCCAGTGGAAGACAGAAGTGCCTGGCGTGCTCTGGTCCATGGGGTCACGAAGAGTCGGACACAACTAAACGACTAAACAACAACAACAACATCATCATACAGTGCCCTGAAGCTGCTCTCTTTGGCCCTTGTTGGGTGTGCTTCATCCTGGAGAGCTGACCCATAAGAAACTTTGGATGCATGAAGCAAGTGGCTGTCACATTACCTTTACACAATGTTGGGAGTGCCAGATTTTCTGCACACCTACGTTATACAAGCCACAAATATTAGTGCATTATGGCAGCTTCCTAAGTTCCAGATGGTCTTGCTGCCCCATTCCTGTAGGGCTTGTTGTGGTTGTTGTTTAGTCATTTAGTCGTGTCCGACTCTTCATGACCCCATGGACCAGAGCACGCCAGGCACTCCTGTCTTCCACTGCCTCCCGCAGTTTGGTCAAGCTCATGCTGGTAGCTTCAAGAACACTGTCCAACCATCTTGTCCTCTGTCGTCCCCTTCTCCTTGTGCCCTCCATCTTTCCCAACATCAGGGTCTTTTCCAGGGAGTCTTCTCTTCTCATGAGGTGGCCAAAGTATTGGAGCCTCAGCTTCAGGATCTGTCCTTCCAGTGAGCACTCAGGGCTGATTTCCTGCAGAATGGATCAGTTTGATCGTCTTGCACTCCATGGGACTCTCAAGAGTCTCCTCCAGCACCAGAATTCAAAAGCATAAATTTTTCGGCAACCAACCTTCTTTATCTAGGGCTTATTATCCCCCAAAAGGCTGCTTATTAGACATTTGGCAGGGATCAGCTTAGCCTGGGAGTTCCTGGCCAGGATCCCCTGAGCGTAGCTGGTCCCAGTGGGGATTTGCAGTCTGCCCCACTTGCCAAGGAACCATCCGAAGCACACATTGAGTCTCCCAATGTTTCATTTGCAGCCATGTCTTTACTTGCGTTTGCCCGTTTGTTTGAAAATGTCTGTACAGGGGGAGAGAAAGAGTTAATAGATGGACCAATAGAAAAGCCAGAGGCGGAGCCTACCTGTTTATAAAAGGGCTTAGCCCGAGGTTTGAGTTAGTTGTTGGTGGTTAGTTGGTTGGTTTTAGTGGGTTGGTTGGTTTGGAAGGGCAGTTGGAAAAGCAGTTGGCAGGCAGCTGGAAACAGAGAGACAGTTGGTGCAGTTGGTTCTTGTGTGAGGGGAGGTAGAAGAGTTAGAGACAGGATAAAAATAAGACTAAGAAGGTAAAGAGTAACAACGTTTTGAATGCAGTTGAAGTTTATTTGTGTCTGCAGTAAACTACACTCTTCTTTGTTAACTTAAGAACCTGATTGAGACTAAGTGATTTACCGGGGAGGACCTGGTTGGTGGCAGCGGATTAGTGGTGTACGGGTCAATAGTTCGTGAGACAATTGGGGGCTCCGTACGAACTCCAACCCCCCCCCCCACATTGTGCCATAGGGCATCAGGTGTGGGGTGGCTTGAGGGAAACAGCCTTGTGGGCTAAATTAGGACCTGTGTGGGCCTCAGCTTGGCCCATGTGCAATACCTCTAAGGCTGTTTGGTTTAATCTGACGTGCGGCCAGATACTCCCGAGATATTTTAGATGAGGGTGTGATTTCTGCATATTCCTTGCATTGCGTGTGTGGCACCTCTCAGTGTTGCTGCTGACCTTTAAAGCCCTAAATGGCCTCTTGGTCCTATATACCTGAAGGAGCGTCTCCACCCCCATCGTTCAGCCCAGACACTGAGGTCCAGCTCCGAGGGCCTTCTGGTGGTTCCCTCCCTGCGAGAAGTGAGGTTACAGGGAACCAGGCAGAGGGCCTTCTCAGTAGTGGCCCCCGCCCTGTGGAACACCCTCCCTTCAGATGTCAAGGAAATAAACAACTACCTGATTTTTAGAAGACATCTGAAGGCAGCCCTGTTTAGGGAAGTTTTTAATGTTTGATGTTTTATTCTGTTTTTTAATATTCTATTGGGAGCCGCCCAGAGTGGCTGGGGAAACCCAGCCAGATGGACAGGGTATAAATCTTTATCATTATATAAAAACAAACTTGCAAGTTTGAGGCCTTCAAGATTTCACTGAGCGGTTTCATGTGAACTTGTGCCGTGTGCTATGGGGTAGCTTTTAGTGTCGTGTTAGGGCTCTGCATTTTGGAAGAGTGTCAATGGTGAGGACGTACTGTTATGGCAACAGCTTGTTCACGCCGCCTCTGCCTTCTCTCTCCTGCATTCCGAGCCGCCGTTCTCTCACATTGTGCATGACTGATGATGGAAGGCAGGGGAATCCCTAAAATAAAACATAACCCAGTGAGAAGCAAGGGCGAGGAAAGGCTTGAATGCGGCAGGTTCCAAACCATCCCCACCAGAGGGCACTTCAATCCACCAGAGTGTGCTTTCATCCAAGGAATCTTCTCTTCAGATTGCCCTAGCATGGCTGATACATTTCCGCTTGGGCTGAAATTTCTAAGTTCTGTGCATCTTGACTGCCCATTCCACCGGCCTACAAATTCTCTATTATCTGGGTTGTGTTGCCATTTAATTACTGACTGCTAATTCAGGACCATCCAGAAAATCCGGTCTTCAGGGCAGGAACAAGGGAGAAATCTAGTTAAAATGAGGGCAAAAAGACAAGGAGGCAGTGAGAAGATTTTAGGTACTGATAACATGATATGTTTTATGGCCCTTTGTGTTCACCAGATCTACAAATGAGGATTGAGTAATGTGTGCTTCGCACATTATGAATGGCATGGAGAGAATAGATAGAGAAAAAGTCCCCCCCCCTCATGACACTAGACCTCAGGGACATCCATTGAAGCTGAATCTTTGAAGATTGAGGACACCTGGCTTGCCAGCAATACATGTGAAAAGGATGTAGGGGTCTTAGTGGACTACAAACTTAACATGAGTCAGCAGTGTGATGCAGCAGCAAAAAAGGCTCATGCTATTCTAGGCTGCATCAGCAGAAGCACAGTGTCTAGTAATAGTTGTTGGTGCCCTTATAATAGATTCTTTTATTTTATTTGGTTTTATTGCTATCTTTCTTTTTTATTCAGGATGTACTTTTATATCCTGAAACCCATTTTTATACTTTTTGTGAGTGTTATGCAAATTTTTTTTTTTTTTTGGGGGGGAGAAAAGTAAAAGAATGGAAACCAACAATGCAATACATTGTAAGGCAATATGAATTGAATAACATTTTTTACAATGGCCCCTATTCCTGTGGTTATCCTGCAAAGAAGATACAAATTAAATTTAATGTTGAATCACAAACCGCAAAGTTGGAAGGGACCCAACGGTTCATCTAGCCCAACCCCCTGCAATGCAAGGAAGCACAACTAAAAAATCCCTGACAGATGGCCATCCAACCTCTGTTTAAAAAGCCTCCAGTGTGTTTTGTGAGATTGGTTGGTGTATTAAGTGTGTCTGCTATTTGTATGTCCATTTGCTGAAGTGAATCTCACTCCTTCTTCCCTCCCCCTGCAGCACTTCTGTAACCTTTGGAGTCAGAATCTGCACACAACATCCTGCCATATACTCTGCCCACGCAGCCATCTGTTCCATCCAACAGCGTTTCGTCAAGTTTGGGTACCACACTGGAAAAAGAGACAGATTTCTCCTCTTCTCCAGCCCTATTCTCCTTTGCACTCTGCCTTCCCAGAGTCTTCCTTTCCTGCTGCTGCGCTGAATGATCACCAGGGCCCTTTCTTGGGGGAGGTCTTGCATAACGAATCGACCTGTTAAGATGGTCAAATGCAAGTGCCGTCCTCTCCTCGGTTAAAATAAATGTTAGAAAATTCAGTCCGGAGCTTTCGAATCGGTGGATTAGTCTTTGTTCCCATTTGAATTACTAATTTCTCTCCCTAGAATCAGCTGCCCAGAGAGGGACCCTTTCATAGCTGGAGAATTAACGTGCGAAGGTCGCCTTCGCAAGGCTGGGATCATCGATTCACAGGCGGGAGGGGAGAATTAGGGTCAAAGGGGTTCAGATGTAGCTAAGGGATACCGGGAGCTGCTTCCCATTCATCCGCAGCGATGTTTGGGTTAGGAATGTGTGTGTTGGCTAATTACATCTCGGAGCCCTTTTCTTGGGGGCTGCCATTGATTTTCAGTTGTCCTGGGAATGCTCGTCGCCAGCAGCATCTCGGAGCTGAATTTTAAGAGATGTCATGTCCAAATGCACACACTCCACGACTGCCACCCTTAGCAGCTTCCCTGAGAAGCAACTTTTGCCAATCAAATGAAAACAACTTTCCTTCCCAACTACTACTACTTCTTCTTTGGCAATCCCTCGTAGCCAAATAAACTTGTCTTCCATAAACAGTTTTAACAGTGAGTCCATAAATGACAGTGTAGGCCAATTCTGGATCCACACGTCCTTCCACAGTGGGAACATAGGTTTCCGGGTGGGAGTAGATCACGGTGTGGATTTGCCAAGTGTGCCTTCCTCTTAGTACATTTCTGCCTTGTGTCCTGAGTTTGAGTGTCTTCAAAGCCCATGACACTTTTGGTAAAGGCTGTTCTCCAGTTGGAGCACTCACAGGCCAGTGTTTCCCAGTTGTTGGTGTTTATACTACATTTTTAAAGATTTGCCTTGAGAGAGTCTTTGAACCTCTTCTGTTGACCACCAGCATTACGCTTTTCATTTTTAAATTCAGAATAGAGTAGTTGCTTTGGAAGATTATCATCAGGCATCCACACAACATGACCAGTCCAGCAAAGTTGATGTTGAAGAATATTGCTTCAACACTAGTGATCTTTGCTTCTTCCAGTACACTGACATTAGTTTGCCTGTCTTCCCAAGTGATGTGTACATTTTTTTGGAGACACCGTTAATGGAATCTTTCCTTCCCAACATTCCTTGCCTAGCACAATACATCTCAAAATTAATTCAGACAAGTTAAAATCTGGGCAGGTGGCAATTATCAGGGTGGAGTTGAGCGTGGTTAATACTTGCCAGGACCAACTGTTTCCACCAATCATACAAGGACCTGTGAGCAGGTCCAACACAGCCTGTGCTTTTAGAATGAACATCACACACTCTGACCATAGATTTGGGTGGCGAAGGGGTCTGTTTGGGGAGGGAAGAAAGGTTGGTTGCCCAACTGGCTTTCCACTCATGCATACTTTGGATGTGGCCTAATGAACCCATTGAACAAAAAAAGCCCAATCTCAAGAACAGAAAGATGGGGAGAAATCGGGAGCAAAGGTTTCTCTTGTCTAACCTCCTGACAAGGAGCTCCACATAAAAGCAAGCGAGAAGCAGAACACTTTCAGAACTGTTTTTTGTTTAACTCCCCACCCCGGTCTTGCCAAATGCACAGAGAGCACACGCGAGGTTTCAGCATAAGTTATTCCGGTGGCGCTTCTTGTTTAGAGAATGCCAGAATTCATTGTTTGCAATTTGGTGCTGCGGGATCCAATCAATAGCTGACAATAAAATATTATTCCAAGTGATGTCAACGTTTTGAGAGGCCCTGATTGATTGCTTTAATTTTGCCGTCTTGAGAGGGTGCGTTCGTGTGTGTGTGTGCGCGTGCACACACACTTTAAACCAAATGCTCTCCTGATTCCTTTAGCTCTGTCTATTTCTCTTGAACACTAGTTAAGTAAAATGACATATTTATTATGTCAGATTTATTGGACAGATGGTAGTGTATTTTGTTCAGATTCCACCCCCCCAATAATATACATCCCTATGCACGTGCATGTGTGTGTGTGAACACCTCCTGCCTTGTCTGTGGCAAGACAGACCAAACAGGGAAGCTTTATAAAATTTCTCAGCTGACTAAGGTTTGTTTTCCTCCTGATCTCCCTTCCCTGAGCAAGGCGCATGGAACGATAGCACTTCCTTCTGCTGCTCCAGAGGCATCTTACCTCCTACGACACCCTCAGTCACGTTCAATCTGGCTTCAGACCCGCAGCCCCAGCCAGGATGACAGATGTCTATGCCAGCGTGGTTAGTTTTGTCACGGCAATTAATCTCATGTTGCTGGTGACTTGCTAGTGGTGCGGAAGGGAAAGGGGGTGGGGAGCTGTCACAAACTCATTTCTCCTCCTGCTACCATCAGGGTTCTTTCCAGGCCTGCCACTTCTGGTTTCATATGTGTGTGTGTGTGTGGGGGGGGAAACCTGGCCCTAGATCCTCCTGCCTCTGAGCATGTGCAGAGTTCCTTTCCACCAAGCAAAGACTTCCCCATCGTTCTGCCCGGACACTTAGGTCCAGTGCCGAGGGCCTTCTGGCCATTCCCTCGTTGCGAGTAGCCAAGTTACAGGGAACCAGGCAGAGGGCCTTCTCGGTAGTGGCACCCACCCTGTGGAACACCCTCCCACCAGATGTCAAAGAGGAAAACAGCTACCAGACTTTTAGAAGACATCTGAAGGCAGCCCTGTTAAGGGGAGCTTTTAATGTTTAATAGATTATTGTATTTTAATATTCTGTTGGAAGCCGCACAGAGTGGCTGGGGAAACCCAACCAGATGGGCGGGGTATAAATAATAAATAATAAATTATTATTATTATTATTATTATTATTATTAGAAAGAGTCTGTTGGTTGGTGAAGTGCAGAGAGCCAGCATGGTATAGTGGTTAGGAGCGGTGGACTCGTAATCTGGTGAACCGGGTTCGCTTCCCCGCTCTTCCACCTGCAACGGCTGAGTGACCTTGGGCTAGTCACGCTTCTCTGAAGTCTCTCAGCCTCACTCGCCTCACAGAGTGTTTGTTGTGGGGAAGGAAGGGGAAGGAGATTGTTAGCTGCTTTGAGACTCCTTAAGGGGAGTGAAAAGCAGGATATTTAGTCCAAACTACTACTCCTACTCTTCTTCTTCTTCTTCTTCTTCTTCTTCTTCTTCTTCTTCTTCTTCCTTGCCACAGGTGAGGAGCCTCTGGCTCAGGGGCCAAATACAGACCTCCAGGCCCTCAGAATGCTCTCCAACCCCCCCCCACTTTCCTCACTCCATGCCCCTCACTGGTCCTCCTTTGCACCCCAAATGTTTTTACCTGGATAATGTGTTTTGACCTCTGATGACGCCTCTTGCTCCCCTGGGTGGAGGACAGAGAGCAGGGAGTTCGCATGTGCAGAAAGTGGCTTGCTACACAAAGACAATGTTAACTTTGGTTGCCCCGCCCACTTTTGACTTTGGCTCCTCCCACCACCGGCATGTGGCCCTCAGAGGACTACCCAGGGGGGAATGCGGACCTTGAGATGGAATAAGGATACCAACCCTGGCCTACGTCTGGGAACATGGGTGGATTGCTTTTGTCTTTGAGAAGGAGATGCGTTTTTGCCTGTCCAGAGACTGTGGTGGTGTCTGGTGGGATCTGGTGACTTGCACCTTGTTCCATGGCAAGTGGAGACTGTTTTATTCCCACAGGCTTTTGGAGAATGACTGCTCTATTAAGGAAAGGACTTCTAAATAGTGCTGTGCTGCTGCTGCTGCTATTATTATTATTATTATTATTACTACTACTACTACTATTATTTTAAATTTGTATACTGCAAAATTAAAACCTGGATTTTATTATGTATTTTGTGTTTATATGTTGTATTTTTCTGCTGTGAACTGCCCTGAGATCTATGGATGAAGGGCAGTATACAAAATATTATTATTATTATTATTAAATTAAATTTGTATACTGCCCTGGATTTCCTTTGATTAATTTTCGCAAAACACAACATGGATTGCAAGTATTGTATGCAGAAAACAGTAGAAATGAAGAAAGGATAAAAAGAGCAGTTTAAAAAATAGACAAAATAGACCCATGTTGAGGAGGACAGAAGCCTATTAGAGAAGAAAAGGAATTGGGATTAAAGAATAGGGTGACATAAGTCCGTATGTAAGAATTTATGCATTTATGGTTGTATGTATGTTTTTTGTTCTTTCTTTCTTTCTTTCTTTCTTTCTTTCTTTTTCTCTCCCCCCTCCCCTTTTGTTTGTTGTTGTCATTTTACTATTTTGGTTATTTTATTGTCTGTGTTTGTACATCAAGTAAGAAAACTAATAAAAAGCAAATTAAAACAAAACAAAACACATAATAAAAATAGGAACAAAACAATAACTCCCTCTCCCTGCTAGCCCTTCCCACAAACACATTTTAAAGGGTATACGATGTTAAACAGCCCAAGGCCCGGTTGAAAAGGAATGCTTTTGCCTGGTGACTAAAGATGTACAATGAAGGGGCCGGGGAAGTCTCCCTGGGGAGAGCATTCACAAAAGGGGAGCCACCACAGAAAAGGCCCCGTTCTTGCGTTGCCACCTTCTGGAGCACACAAAGAAAGGCCTCAGAGGATGATCTCAGGGTCCAGGTGGTTCTTATAGATAGAAGTGGTCCTTGAGGTATGGTGGTCCTGAGCCATTTTACTATCTGTATTTTAATAGATCTGTTTTTATATTGTTTTAATTCTAAGGTGAGTTGGGATAGCTGCATAGGTAGAGCATGAGACTCTTAATCTCAGGGTTGTGGGTTCGAGACCCACATTGGGCAAAAGATTCCTGCATTGCAGGGGGTTGGACTAGATGACCTTCGTGAGCCCTTCCAACTCTACGATTCTATGATTCAATTGTGGTTTTATTAACACTTTTAAACTATTGACTTTAACATGTTTTTAGCCTTTTGTATTCAAACTGTGTTGTTTTCATTTGTGCAAGCCACCTTTATTAATTGCTTTGAGATGCTTCATGTGAAGTGTGTTGCCATGTGGGTGTTATTCAATGCTAGTCCTACTCAGAGTAAACCCATTGAAGTAATCAGATTGAAGGCATTACGCACAATTTGCTGCTCTGTCCTATGTATTCAGAGCCCAGAGGGAAATTTTTGTCACCTGTTCTTCAGCTGTATTCAGATCAATCACCTCAGAAAGTGGTAATTGAACTTCCAGCCGACAAAGAATTGTACATTACACATTTGGTAGCTAAATTTGCACCGGCAGCTAAGAAGCTGCTTTCTAGCCATATCAAGAATTATAATGTATTATAATTTCCAATCCAATGCTTTGTTGCCCTGCGAGGGTAGCATATATGCTGTTAATGTTCGCCCTGTGACTTCCTTAACAAGTTTCTCCTTTATTTCATGCATTATTTTGGAAATTTTATGTTTTATGTATGTAACAGCCTTTGGATATCTGTAAGCTGCCTTATGTCCCTGATAAAGAAGAAGGCGACATAATATTATATAATAATAATAATAATAATAATATGGCTATATAACTTGACTGACAGACTGACCATTGAAGTTAATGGACATAACTTAGATTTTTTATTATTATTTCTTTTCTTTTTTAAAAAATAATTTTTATTGAATGATTTTATGTTACAAAAAACAATACAGCCATACTATCACTATATATGATTAAGAAATAAAAATTACATACATTGATATTTAGTTTGTTATTTGTTATTTACCGTCTTATTTCCTCCCAAACATTGCATACAACAACACACATATGTGCAGACACCCACACACCCACACACAAAATGATAATAATGAAAGTAAATATTTTTCCACTTTTATCTTCCAAAAGCTTTTCTTCAACTTTGACTTCCTGTCAAGTCCCTTTGCATATGCAGAACCATTGAAATAATAATAAAAAATCTATAAAAAATCTAAAAAACAACAACATAGATTTTTTATTATTATTTCAATGGTTCTGCTCTGGGTAGGTCTTAGGAGAATACAACCCTGTGTGTCATGACATGCAACTTGATTCCAGCGCACACTTACTTGCATGTGGATCTATGTGCATAAGCCATGCACATGGATGGTGCCACACAGCCACCTCACCTGTTCACACCTGTGCCATGTTGGAGGGTCTGCACTACACAGTCTACCAATTCTCTCCTTTCCCTCTCGGCTGTCGCAGGGACTCCCAGGTCCTGGGAATTATCTTTGGCTGACCTCCTTGCTGGCAGCTATGCTTCAGCTCAGCCACTCAGAGGCCGGGGTTACTGTGTGTTTATTTTCCCACACCGATTAAACATCGCTGATTAGCTCAACTAATTAACCATACACTAGCAATTACGCTCTGACAGGTATCTTTGGAGCCTCTAACAGCTGTTACCACAAGATCAAACAAGTCAAGACAGGAAGAAGAAAGGAAAACAATTAAATACACAAATGAAACAGGCAGAAGGGGGGGAAACACAGACAAAAAACCCCCACCACCCTTGCCCAAATCCCTCTGCAGTCATCTCCAGAGCTTGGAGTATCTTACTGCATTTGCAAGGTAGGCTGAGCAAGGAGCAGGATGAGGTCACCATGCCCAGTTTTCTAAAATGTATGATTTTAAAACTTACATCGCACCCTTCGCCAAAACCTCTGCTGCCTTGAGGGTTATCTTTGGGAGAAGAAAAGGCTAAGTAGTAAACCCTGCACAAATCCAGAGTGGAGTCCCTAAGATGGTTGGATGCAGTGGCGTAGTGTGGGGGGTGCAGGGGGGGCCGGCCGCACCGGGCGCAACATCTGGGGGTTAGGGTTAGGGGGCGCAAATCCATGGGTTAGGGGGCGCAAATTATTTGCCTTGCCCCGGGTGCTGACAACCCACGCTACGCCACTGGTTGGATGACGCCTTGTATGCTTCCTTCTGGCAATTCCCGTAGCCAAGCTGGTGCCAAATGTATTCCTCTGCTTTCCTTTTGTTGTAAACAAAAATCTGCCCTTTTCCTTTATGGGGTATTCAAGAGCCCATATAGAGTCCTTACGTAGGTTCCCTATTGGTAGGAGAAAATAACAGAGGCCAACCAGAGAACATTGAGAAGCAAAGCAGCTAGTAAGCCTGCTCTTTATTGATCTTTTGCAGCAGGGTCCTCACTCACCACACGCAGGAGGGAGGAGGAACCCAGAACAATGGTGTGCAAGCCCTTATATAGACTTTTGAAATTGCCACCCTGTAGATCAAGACCACCCCCAGAAACATCATACATACATCACAGAAGGGATGTAGCTCAAGACCACTCCCCAGACACATCATACCTACATCATAGAAAAGGCGGTCTAAAGCAGAAATCTGAGTGACTTGTTTATCTTGTCTGACAGGTTACCTGTTTAATGGTCACTTGACTGGATTGCCTGGGGAGCCTGGCCAGTCTTTTGTAACGAATCACAAATCTGCCCTACCCACTTTTGGACCTGCCCTCCACTGATTGGCATGTGGTCATGTGTTTTGGGAGCCCTCCTGCTTTCTCTGCTGAGTGGGCCCCCGGGCCATTCCCCAAATCCTGTCCCAATGGTACCAATGTGAACTGTGAGGGGGGAGCCAGTCTGCCACCATGGATGGCTTCTGCGCAAGGAATGGATGATGGGGAAAGGAGACAGCAGTCAGCGTGACGCATTAATATCTATCACAGCTGCAACTTGATTAAAAATATTTTGATTGATTAACCCTATGAGTTTTAGTCGATTAAGCTATTGATTGAATTTGCATATGCACGCAAAAACAATATTTCTAAAAGCAAGAATCTCGTTCCCTTTGTCTTATTTATTTCGTTGCTTGGTTTATACCCCTACTCTTCAAATGAAATTCCCAAATGCAATACCAGGTCCAGTTAGCAATCTGACTGCAGTTTCCAAACGCAGCCCCACATATAACATGTTACAGTAGTCTGATCGGGACACTGCAAGAAGGTGGGGATTTAGTCGGCATTCACATGTGTCGTAGGCATCATATGTGAGAGAAAAAGTGGGTGTTGTTGTTGTTGTTGTTGTATTTTAATTTATTACCTGGTCTTCACCCTATGACTGGTGCTTGCCATCAACATTTGTATTAAAAAGAATAATCCCTTTTAAAAATAATAATAATAATAATCTGCTTTTTGATTAATTGCAGCACCTTTTCAGCTGATTGAAAATCTTAAAACTGATTAACCAAGTTAAACGTTGCAGTTCTTCTGCCTTTTTTCAGCATTTGTACATCTGGGAAAATAGGAAGCTGCCTAATACCAAGTCAGAGCATGAGTTTATCTAGCTCCCTTTTGAAAACACTGACTGGCAGCGTTTGTCTTCAGATACGGTCTTTTCCCAGCCCTGCCTGGAAACAGCAGGGATTGAACCTGGAACATCTGAATGCAAAGCATTGGGCTATGGTCCCCTTCCTTCCTTCCTTCCTTACTGCCTGCCTGCCTGCCTGCCTGCCTGCATTCCATCACACACCTGTGTGACCAACAGCACAACCCTATACATATCAACACCAATGTAAGTACCATTAAGTTCAGTGGGGCTTGCTCCTTAGGAAGTGGGGAGAGGACCCAGAAACAAGCTATGCAGACAGGAACAAGCTTGAGTCTCAGTGGCGCCTCAAGGGATGGGACAAGTTTAGCCAAAATGCCAATGGTCTCCCAGGGTGCATCTCTTGGCTCGGTCTCATATAAGTGAACAGTTGCCTCTCAGCCCTGCAAGGAACAGTAAAGCCTTGTGGCCATGAGGGCAACATTTATCTCCTTCCCCCTGACACTGAGTGCTCCAGATTTCATTGGGGATATACTACTGCTGAATGTATCCATCTTCACAGACCTCACATGTACACCACCCTCCTCATAGGTCCTTGCAACATGCAGCAAACCCACCACAAAATTTGGCATTTTCAGACCCTCCAAGTGTCCCTATTTTCCAGGGACAGTCCTGGATTCACAGAAGCCGTCCCAGTTTCTGATTTGATCCCTGAATGCTCTTCCTTAGGATGTCCCTAGTTTCATTGGAGAAATGTTGGAGGGGATGGAGTTATGGGACCCCTGAGCCAAGGAGATGAATAACCATACAACCTTTAGAAGACATCTGAAGGCAGTCCTGTAAAGGGAAGTTTTTTAAATGCTTAATGTTTCATTGTGTTTTATTGAATTGGAAGTCGGCCAGAGTGGCTGGGGCAACCCTGTCAGATGGGCGGGGGTACAAATAATACTATTATTATTATTATTATTATTATTATTATTATTATTATATAGGACGTTCCTATTTTCACTGGAGAAACGTTGGAGGGTATGCATTTTGTTCTTGCTTTCTGTCAATTTATCTATCTACCTTAAGGTAAAGGTAAAGGGACCCCTGACCGTTAGGTCCAGTCGTGGCCGACTCTGGGGTTGCGGCGCTCATCTCGCTTTATTGGCCGAGGGAGCTGGCGTACAGCTTCCAGGTCATGAGGACAGCATGTCTAAGCCACTTCTGGCAAACCAGAGTAGCACACAGAAACGCCGTTTACCTTCCTGCCGGAGCAGTACCTTTTTATCTACTTGCACTTTGACGTGCTTTTGAACTGCTAGGTTGGCAGGAGCTGGGAGTGAGCAACAGGAGCTCACCCCATTGCGGGGATTTGAACCTCCAACCTTCTGATCGGCAAGCCCTAGGCTCTGTGGTTTAACCCACAGCGCCACCCGCGTCCTATCTACCTTAGCCATCTCTTTATTCCACCCTAGAGTGGCCAAGAGACAGGATGTAGGGGGAAGGAGCTATGCGACTATAACAGGACTGTTTGCAGACTGTGAGCAGGCTTCTCCATTTTC